TGCACGTCTAGGTATCCGAGTACTCTTGACCCTACCCTCTTCGAGCAATTTGCTCACATGGTCTTCGAAAGTTAGTCTCGGTCTACCTCTACACCTTTTAATATTAACTTTCGCGCTATATATTTTCTTCACCATTCGGTCTTCACTCATTCGCTCAACGTGCCCAAACCACCGAAGCACGCCCTTAACAATTTTTGTGATAAGGTCATCTTTCAAACCTGCCATATTGCGAATCTCTTCGTTTCGCTTTCGGTCGGCCATGGTAACGCCGCACATTTTACGAAGAGATCACATCTCCACTGCATTCAACTTGCTTTTATGCTTCTTCTGGCATACCCAGGTTTTGCTGCCATATAACAAAGTCGGTACCAACACTGCGTAATCAAGCAAGGCGTGCACTCTTCACTACGCCTTGCCTTTTGACTAACGCAGTCAGGGCACCATTGACTTTGTTCCCGGCAGCGACACGCCTGTCCACATCTAAATCACATCTTCCATCCCGGCTAAAAGCACTCCCCAAGTATACAATTTCATTTACTTGTTCTAGAAATTCCTGATTTACCCATATATCACACTTCGTTCTCTCTTCGTCCCTTTCAAATACCAGAACCTTAGTTTTATTAGCGTTCAAACGGAGACCTTTAATTTCACATTCCTCTTTCATACACGTGACTAATGCCTGCAGTTCTGCCTCTGATGGTGCAATAAGCACTGCATCATCAGCACACAGCAGACAATTTACTTTTATGTCACCCAATTCCACACCCAAACAGCTATCTTTCAGCTTCTGTAAACAGCTGTCGAGATACAGTATGAACAGCCAGGAAGACAGGACACAACCCTGTTTTACACCCGTTTGGACGCTAAACATGGGTGACAGGCATAGCCCTTAGCAATCGACCATTCACACCATACCCCGGCAACAGTTCCCACATTTTCTTCCTTACAACCTTATCAAATGCTTTCTCAAGATCCACAAAAGCACAGAAAATCTTCTGGTTAGCAGCCAGAAGCTTTTACGTGATCATGCGGAGAGAAAACATTTGATCCGTGCATCCTCTTCCAGGTCTAAATCCGCATTGTGCCTCCCATAGAAATCTTTCAGATTTCTCTTGCATCCTACGTGTCAAAACCTTCGAGTAAACTTTATTTGCTAAACTGGTCAAGCTGATCGCCCGATAGCACCCGCAGTCAAAATGTGAACCTTTACCTTTATATAAAGGCACAATGACTGCGGATCGCCAATCATCCGGGACATCCCCCGTCCGCCAGCACAAGTTGCACAGCAGATGAAAGCTGTCCCAGACGCGAGGCCCACCATACTTGACCATTTCAGCAGTAACTCTGTCTAGTCGCGCAGGCTTACCACATTTCAAACTTCGAATCGCACGTTCAATCTCTTTCATACTGATGACCTCAGTGTCATCGAGGTCCGGGTCTGGCGTACCAGTCACGGCGTCATCCCCGGATCCCTCACTAAGATCATCACACGCATACATTTCTCTATAAAATTCGCTCCATCGCTGCATGACGTCCGATTTTTCTGAGAGGACGTCATTAGTTCTCGAAAGCACTTTGTTCATTCTTAAGGCCGTCGCACCACTTCGGGTCCTTCCAACCTCTTTCCAGAAGAGTTTGGAGTTCTCCTTAAAGTTGTGCGACAACCTTTCGCCAAGTAGTCTAACCATGCTTTCTTCTTCTTGAAAAAATGAAAATGTTTATTTGTCTTAAAACAGTTACATGGATTATGAGATATCCCCAGTAAGTAATCGATAATACTTGTGTTGGGGCTATCTCGCTCTTTCCCTTAATTATTAACAATATTGAGACTATTTTACAAAAGGAAAGTAAAAATTAATTTAGGAAGAAAAAATTGCAGTAAGTGACTTATAAATTAATTATTAATTCTTTGTGTAACTGTAGTACAACTACGCCTACATACGAAAGAAATTAAAAGAAATTGTTTAACCAAGTCTATCTAAAATTTGTGCAGTTTCCTCGTATGTTAAGGGTTTATTTTAACCACTAAGTGATTAATTACCTTTTTGCATACGTGTGATACCTCATGGTGGAACTTTAATTTTACGTTTATTTTATTATAAATGTAGACTGATTGGATTGTATACTGACGCCGTGCAAAAGCGTCTTCTCTCCTGACTGTCTTGGTTAAATGGAATAGATTTTTGTAAGTATAGGGTCGTAATTAAGTAATATAGTTTTCTAACTGAGAGTAAGCCACTGATTTTATATTGTTGCGCGCCACTATTAATGTCTTGTACATGGCAACACCAGCTACCACTAGCGCCTTCTAGTATACAGTAGCAGAACTAGGAGAGTCAAAATCCTTCTAGAAATTTCGGGACCGATATGTACTCGAACATTCTAGATGTTTCTACAGTAGAAGATTCTGGAAACTATCTGAGGCCCTATATAAGGCCGGTATAGACCATGACCGAGTCAGTATTGAATTGGCGATACGAGTACAAGCGAATACTTCGAAGCGAAATAACTGCGAACTAAAGTGATCAGTAGGACAATTGTGTTTTATTATTAGTGTGGTTTAAAATTGTAATTAGTGTTCTGTAATTAAAGTGTCAATTTTGGTAATTCAATCGGCAGTTTTTAATTGTCTCGACCCCCAACCTTGTAACAATATAGATCGACGGTGGGCTATCTGTATGGTTTATAGTACGTTACTTTTATAAGTGATCTTTGGGCTCTTTCGAACTCAAGGAATTTAGTTTTAGTGGCTCCTCCACATACTGGTAAACAATATGTAAAAACTGATTGCGTGAGCGCAATATAATTGCTATTGAGTCTTCTGAGGCATCACATATCTTAGATTTTTAAAAATCTATGCGCACCCGTGACGTAACAATCTCAATATGCGAATTCCAAGTTAAACACTCGTGAACTATAATTCCCAAGTATTTTGTGGACGTTATATGTTTGAGGACCTGGCAATTACAATTTTAATCCAAGTGGTTCGTAGACGTATGGATTCTAATTTTAAAATTAAGGCCTGGTTTAGACCTTATACTAGGAGAAAAACAAATGTAGTTCGTTTTATTAACATTAAGGGTTATCAGATTGACTTTGAGCCCTCTATCTATAACAACTAATCCTTGCTCGGCATTATCGCACACTTCTTCCCACGTGTCCCCAATGTAAACGATGGCCGTGTCGTCCGCGTAGGAAAAGGTTTTCCCACCACTGCACTGCTTCGTAGGTTGCATTGTTCATTAATATACACTAGAAACAGTTGTGGGACACCGTAAGCAATATTTTCCTCCTCATTAAGCAAGTTATCTATTTTAACTTGCTGTCTCCTACCTCGGAGGTAGCTGTCAAAGAGGGAGAGAGCCTTATCTTTTATTCCTATAGCTTCAAGTCTCTGCACAAGGATGGGGATAGATACGCTGTCAAAAGCCTTTTTCAGGCCTAGAAACACCGTAACGCATTTATGACCATTGTCTACCTTATCAGTGATTTCAGATGTTACCACAATGACCGCATCCTGAGTTGACCGTCCCTGTCTAAAACCTTAATGTAAATCAGAAATAATGTTGTATTTACTTAAATAACTATTTAATATTTTTTCAATTATTTTTGAAAGGGATGATAAGACAGATATCGGCCGATAATTGTTAACATCATTCTTGTCCCCATCTTTGTGCACGGGTGTAATTATAGAACGTTTTAGCGCATCAGGTAATACGCCTGTTTCGAAACACATATTAGTCAATTGGCTAATAAGAGGAACAACAAGTTCTCGAGATAATTTAAGCAAACTCACAGGTATGCAATCTCACCCCGAAGCACTTTTTGAGTCAAGTAATCCAAGTATGCTATCCACTTCTGCTGGATCTGCAGGAGGACGAAAGAGTTAAGTTTAGATAGTGAACTTAAGGAAGTGACAGATTTACATACTTGTCCAGTTAAGGTTATGATTTTATCCGCAAGTTTTTTTGCAATAGTTACGAAGAACTGGTTTACACGGTACGGTGGTACCAAAGAGTATAATCACAACGTTTTAGGTATGACCTCGAAATATAGAATGAGAAATTGTATGACAGGTGAAATGTCTGGTTTGCAAAAAAATGTGACCAAAATTAAGAAACGAATGCTTCGGTGATTTGGCACGTAGAAGGAATGAAAGAAAGGGTAACAAAGCAATTTAACAAGGCGAATGGAAGGTTATCAACTAAATTGGTGACTTATTGATGATTTGCTAAATTAAGGATGTAAATAAAACCTTTAAATGAGGAGCATGTGTGCGTAGATATTATATGAATGTGTAGGATGTGTGTCAAGATCGTGCCAAAAAGTCCGTTAACCTTGCCTGTCGTAAATCCTGTGTGTGACAAGCATGAGAGTATGAATATGTATGGTATAAACTTGTAAACTTTGTAATGAAGACTCTAACTTTTTAAGTCGAAAAGTTACAACTAGCAAACATTCCTAACCAGTTGTCACATCCTCCAGTTACGTCAGATTTGTTCATGCTCACGGTGACTAACATACCACTTTAGGCTACTGGGTTTATGAGCGCAAAGCGCAGAGCCGACAGAGACGACTCCGCACTGCTGCTGCTTGATTAGTCTATGTATTTAAAAATTCACACTAATCATTTTGATGGCTAATGTTTTTTCTTTTTTTATAAAAAAAAATATACGTGGTAGAGCCATGTTGCAGTAATATTATGGATTTGTCGGGTGTGGGATAAACCACGCTTTCATAAAATACCAGCGTAAATATTAGCTTACTGCTGCTGTGTTTCGTATGGTGAGTGTAGAGAACCGGAGACCCTTTTTAATATACCCGGATAATAACGCATTTGCATTTTGATTCTTAATCGATGATAGATGTCGATGTCTATGGGCCATAGCATTTATTTATCATCTCATGAATTGTGTGCTCGTTAGTCACACTTAATCTATAAAATGTTTGACTGTATATTTACTGCTTGACTAATAATGTTTAACTGTTAATTTAAACAGATCGATGCAGCAACAGGAGAGGAAGAAACAAATGCTTCGGTGCTTTCGCGATCTATTCGCCTGGCCCAAGCGCTGAGGAAGTTTGGTCTGCAGCCCGGAGATGTATTAGCATTAGGAGGCAACAACCATTTGGATCTTCACATACCATATTACGCTGCGATATTAAATGGATACCCAATAGTAGGCGTAGACCCCTTATTTAAGTATAGTAAGTAATTGCATTACCCCACTCATTCCATGTCATGAGGTATTGAACCAGTACCAATCCAGGGTCGGGCAAAATTAGTTATTGAGTTTTTTTCTCAAGAAATTCTCAGTAGCATCCCGGAGTCAGAAAGTTGGCGGTGCTTCACCTCCGTGTTTCGGAAAGCACGTAAGTCCGTTGGTCCTGCGCCTGAGCTCTCTCCGGTTATGTCGGAAAGAGGGAGAGAGGATGCACCTGTATTGGCGGATACACTCGGGCACTAAAATCCTGTCCTGCCCAGATGTCTATTTTTGACTGCCTGCCATGACGGAAACTCGGTCTTGTGAAGCATATTAAAATGCACAACTGCAAATTGTATTTTTATACTTATCATATTAGATTATGTGTTCGCATTCGTAAGTCTTAAAGTATTTTAAATGTGCCTTCAGAATTGTACTAATATATGAATATTAGCCGTGTAGTGGCGGTTAAGAATATCCATTACCCCATATATTCCCTTGGGTGTTGTAAGAGGTGACAGTGGGAACAGGCAGGACCAGACGAAAACTGTTCAGTGATGTCTCAGTGATCGCGAGGGTGAAAACTGGAAGCGATCACCGATTGGTTAGAGGCACACTGAAACAAAACGTTAAGTTGGAGAGGTCTCGTCAACGCTCCGTCCCCGTCGTGCTCTAATCCAAAGGCCCGAAACCTTTCAGCTCGAGTTACAAAACCGTTTTCAGTGCCTAGAAGACTGCAATGAAATGGACGATATGAATGATAAGCTCGTGGAAACTGTCCATGCGGTCGGAGCTAAGTTCTGCAAGACCCGCCGAAGAACACAAAAACTCTCGCTCTCTCTCGATCACGCTCTTAAATTGCATGGCTGGCAGTCTTCAACAGATTTGACAGCATACAGGCAACTGAACAGACAGATCTCCAAATGCATGTGGTGGGACTTACGCAACTTCAATACAGCTTGTATTGAAGAAGCGATCGGGTGGAACCAAGGCTCCAAAGTCTTTGCCAGTGATATGTTTGCCAGAAAAAGCCAACTGTCAAAGCTGAAGTCTGAGTGTGGCAGCATCGTTTCCAGGACACCTGAGATTTTGAGTAAGATTGAGAGGTTCTATGGGCAGCTGTAACCGTCATGGTTGGACCCACACGCAAGTGTAAGTAACGATCCAGGACGTCAGTCTGAGCGAGATTAGAATGGCTCTCTAGCACCTTAAAAGCAAGTCCCCAGGTGAGGATGAAATTACAGCGGAGCTTCTGAAAGCTGGTGGAAAACCCGTACTTGAAGTCGATCAGAAGCTCTTTAATTCCGTCCTCAATCCTCCATGGTGGGACTACTACGGAGGCGTGGAGCAGAAGTGTGGTGGTCTTGTTCTTCAAGAAAGGCGACAACGCTCTCTTGAAGAACTACAGACCGATTTGCCTTCTGAGCCGCGTATACGTGCTATTTTCGAGAGCCATTACGAATCGTTTCGCACGCAAACTCGACGACTTCCAGCCTCCCGAATAAGCTGGTTTCCGAAGAGACTTTAGTACCATAGACCGAAGAGTACAATCGGCCATTTTGTCTTGCGCATGTGGACTATGAGAAAGCCTTTGATGCCGTCGAAATTTGAGCGGTGCTACAGTCCCTTCAACGGACTGTAGCACCGCCCATTTTTTATTTGCCAAGTTGACTATCGGTAAATCGAAGTGCTGAAGTGTTTGTACAGTAGGGCTATAATGGCTATCCGAGTACAGAATCAGAGCACGAATTCTATCCAACTGCAGAGAGGTGTAAGAAAGGGTGACGTTATATCCCCGAAACTCTTCACCGCTGCATTGGAAGACGTTTTCAAGCTTCTGGACTGGAAAGGACATTCATTCTTAAAGAACTTTTAATCGCCAAAATATTATTTTTATAGTTTTTATAATCATTTTGTGAACAGGCCGCGATCTATCGTCAACGTAACTAAATTACATTGCAACATCGATATGGAACGATGCGTGTAGTTTTACTATTTATCGGTAGATGAAAAATATAAAGTGGGCGGAGCTTAACACCCCCTCATCCCGCAAATTGTCACGTGTTGTTACATAGTGAAATCTAATTACAACACCTCCTCTTTGTATTTGCTCCGTGGTCTTGACAGACATACGGTACATAAGCGAGTTGGATCGTATTTGTAATTCCAATTTTATATGCTGACTAACGATCCGACTTGACGTGATGATCTTTCATTTGCAATTGATTTAATTTTATAAAGATTTACCACTTGCTTAGCGGAAAGCCATCGACTATATTCAACAAAGCTTTATCTGTTTGGAAGAAAATATTTCGTAATCATGAAGTTGAGGCAGGATCTTGATAACGCAGTGTAGAGGCTGCATAAAAGAAACTACTACCTCCTACCAAATAATATATAGTGGATTTCGGGTATAACGATGATGAAGGGACCACTCTTTTTCGTCGTTATACTCGTATCACGAAGTCGTTACAGGCAAAGGTAACAAATTCAAAATATTACAGTTGCTACTCAGATTATCACGTTGTAACTGATACCATAAATTTAACTCCGAAAAATACACGCCTCCCTACCTACTTAGCTGATATCTATAAACAAAAGGTAAAGGTCTCCATACCTGGTGACCATCAGTGTGGATGTAAACAAAAGATAAGAAATGTTTTTGAAAGAAAGAAATCTTAGTGTCTTTGGCGGCCTACTCCGGTCGCAATATCTGCATGGGATTTCTAGAAATTTGTTAAAAATGATTCATTAAAAACAGTCGCTACACCCGGACCCGGCGTTACATCCGAAGTCGCTATAGCCACATGAATTTTGTACTAAAATATGCTTTAAATTCAAGGGACTTAGATTTAACGTCGCAATAGGTAAATGGTCGCTACAACCAAGGTCGTAATAAATGAAATCCACTGTATTATTATTTATAAGCTCTAAGACCCCATACCAGCCCGTAAGTATCGTAAAAGGTGACATAGGGAAATGAAACAGGTGATAGGTAACGGTATCTTCCTGATATCAACTCAAAATTATAAAAATTGCGGTTGCCAAACCAAACTATGGCAATTATTCCCCCTACTTTCAGCAGTGGACTTTTGATAGGCTGTAATTAATTAATTAATGATGGATAATATCTTTAGGGAGCAGAGAGGAAACGGGTGGTACGTTCGAAATTGATTTATTTGTAGTTGTGATCTAGCGACAAAACAGAAGGCAGAACGCGGCCGTGCCGCTGTTATTATACTATTGTAGCGGTGACCTTTGTGTACGTTCCGTGAAGCAAACCCAGTGTCGATTAAACAAACACATAACTGTGTTTGTTTAATCGACACTGGGTGTGACACCTTGTGAAATCCATAATAAGTCTAAGGATAATATAGCGAAAATATACCGGCTGATTTTATATGTCGATAATACATTGTTTCCCATTAAACAAAAAACTACGAATTTAAACACCTAATACTGTTTTTTATAAAAAAAAAGTTATCAACCGCCGCCACAGAAACAAGCCGCGACTAGCAGGGCACTCTGGCGTCACTTTTTGACCTAAACAATAACCTCCCCCCCGCCCCGGTCCCCGTTCGGGAGATACACTCACTGCGCTCACTTACCCACTGCGCTCAGTTACCCCGAATGACTCTAACTAACATTTATAGTTTACTAGCTGGCCAGGCAGACGTTGTTCTGCCCTTTTCGACGACACATCATATAAAAAATCCTTAAATTCGTAATAAAACAATATTGAGCGTCACTTATCAGGATAAAGTGCGCAAAATTTCATTGAAATCTTAGCTTAGGAGTTCATCGCGGACAAACAACGTGACACGTAATTTTTATATATAAAGATTTATTTTAACGAAATAATTTATACTTTATTTATTGTTATTCTTGATTTCAGATGAATTAAAGTCATTATTGAAAACAACGCAGCCAAAAATAGTGTTTTGTCAACATAAATCACAGGAGGAGTTAAAGAGAGTGGCTAATGATTTAGGTCTAGATTTGAAGATGGTGTCTTTTGAAGAAGGAGAAGGTTCAATGAAAGAGTTTTTAGAAACATACGATGTCGACGAACCAGAAGCTGAATTCAAGTGAGTGTTATCAATTAAAGTTTATCATGGATTGCTATGGCTCTTGAGCTACCACGGCTCACAGCAATGAGCTCAAGGCTAAGCGCTCGCTGTGAATTTCACAGTACGCGAGCAACCCCGGTTCGATTCCCGCCGGCACCAATGAAGTTGTTAATTGCAATTTTAAATGCTGATTTACCACGTGCTCGACGATGAAGGAAAACATCGTGAGGAAACCTGCATGTCTGAGAAATAAGAAAAAAAAGTATTTCAACGACATGTGAAGTGTAGATTAGGACTTGTCTTTTTATATATATATTAATTATGAGAGTTCTAAAATAAATATATTTAAGTAAACATTCTTAGGAAAATAATGTTTGATATTTTTAAATTTACATCCAATGTAAATTCCGTGATAATTATACCCTATATATGTATTCATATAGATGTATTCATATAGATGTATTCATATAGATATATAAATATGTACATAAATATTTCGTTTCGTTTTCGTTCATCTTTCTTTATATCCGAAATACGTATTCCTATGATGGCCAGTAATGCGCCAGATATGGCACACATTGTCGTTATTTTTAACTGCTTGCAAAATGAAACAAGAAATTTTGATAAAAATTTCATATTTTATTACAGAATAGCCGAATTTGACGTTGATAAAGTATATGCCTTCCTAATAAGCACTAGCGGCACTACCGGTCTTCCCAAAGTAGCAGCATTCAAACATCGAACTGTAATGGAAAAGTTTCTATCTTTCATGAAATATTTAAATGAAGCTAGGTCCACGTAAGTAATGTTAAGAAACCATGATTTTATTTAGAGACTATATATTTTATGTGTATCTTATGACAAGTACCGCGCATAGAGCAACACTGGCCACCGGCGGACTGGGGATAAGCCATAGACAGATCTCTTTTTACAGCAAAAAACTGAACAATTCGGATTTTTAGGACGGTGATTCAGCCGCGCATCTATTCTAGTGAGCACTGCAGCTGCAACTAGTTTTTGGTGTGCGCAGGACCGCGTGGACTTATACTTTGACAGAAGGGAACGGCTATTAGCCTCCGAGTTGCCGGTCGCTCGTGTTGCTCTGTGTTACCGAGAGCTATTGCTAGTGTAGAGTTTTAATTGCTTTTTGTTTTTATTGCTGCTCCATACCTCCAAAGAATAAAATTGAAAAGCTTCTTCTTAGAAAACTTTGATGCCCCTGGATCATTCATGAACTCACCCAAGAACAAAAACGGATACGAGTTGATTGGTGTTAAAAAAATTGTTAAAGTAAGATCACGGACGTTGAAATGATGCGAATTACATTATACCAGGAGATGAGACGTGAATATATTGTTACATTCCGTAAAGAAAGCTACTGTATGGGCGTGCGCAAACGACATTTTTTTTTCGTATTTAGCCAGTGAGCTGTAGGTATGTTGCCTGCGCATTTGACAGAACGAATTTCTCCAGCATAAAAAGTTGCACTTAGTATACATAGAGTTGAACCGGAACTGATTGACTGGATAGTAAACATGCTTAGTACACGAACAATAAATATTGTTGGTGAATCTCAAATAGCCCAAATAAAGAAAGGCTGAAATATGGTCAAAAATGAACTCAGCAGCAAATTAAATGCCAATCACTTCTACACAATAGGTTATTCAGATGACCTGACAATACTTGTCTCGAGTAATACAGTAAGTGTGCGACCTGACCCAAGCATATAGTGAAGAGATGGTGCAAGAAATGTGACTTAACCGTTAACCCAAATAAAACGGTTGTAATAATGTTTACACAAAACAAACGCTGTACAACATCACCTTCAAAGTCTTTTCTAAACTCTAGCTATCTTTTGAGGTAAAATATTTAGGTCTTACCTTGGACAGTAAACTCAATAGGAATAAACACATAAAATAAATCAATAAGGTTAGTATAATTTACTGGCAATGCAGATAATGTGACTGTGCAAAACTGAAATTTGGGTTATGAACACATACGGCGTTCTGGTATGGTAGACCAAAACAAATGAAGCCACCACTATAAAGAAGCTTCAGCGATACCAGAGAATGGCATATATGCCACAGGTACTACACCAACAGCAGCCTTAGGGGCTTGCTGCCTCGCCCCGCTTCACCTACACATATAACAAGAAGCGAATATAGCTGCCATCAGACTCATGACCCTAAGTCTTTGGAGTAAGAATAGAGTTCCTCATGAAATCAACAAGTTGCGATTCTACTACCGGTTAGTCCAGTCGTTTTATAATGATGTGACGGCTCATTTTCTTAGCGTATATAGAAATGGCGTGTCAACCTAAACGCTCCGATACCATCGTAGTCCACGAGTTCTTGGCCTTTGTTAAAAAAAATTGGATGTCATGGACCAGGTGTCTTTGGAGCAGATACTGATGACAAGCTTCACCGAGGACGAGATCATCCAAACGAAGAAGGTGTTAGCAGATTCCGCTGTGACACAAATCCGTCTTATCTCACGTCACAGGGATGGACGCGGTAAGAAAACCTGCAAGACATATTCAGGATGTTCAATGAGACCGACCCTGATGACATTCCAACTTTCGTCGCGCGAAATCTGATCTCAAAAAGTTGCTTCCCGCGACATTCGATCACGTAGACGTGACCAGATTGTTGAAAGACGTCAATACGTTGAAAGCCGAAATTACCGACATCCGTTTCACATTTGAAGAATCGAAATGAGCCGCAACAGAACTGAGGAACGAAGTCACTATATTGCGCAGAATAATTGCAACATCTGCGAATTCATCCCGTCGCAGAATGTAAATACGACATGCAGTAACCGTAATAGTAGTCATATTTCACCGATGATTGCGACTCCGTCTGTTAGCGAGTTCATGACCGTGAGACTAGGGCGACCTCGGTCGTCATTGCATCGCCACCTCAGCCCTTGACTGAACCTATGAGTGCTCCTCCGCCAAAGCCAACCTCACAACAAGGGAAGACGTTTGCGGATGTTGCCCGAAAATTTTCACAACCGGCTTCCTCTTAAAGCGAAAGAATGTGGAATTAAAATCAGTTCCAGTGGTGACCCGAAATAAGATTGATAATGACGTCCTAGGTTTACTCTTGTTAAGAAGAGACGTCGTTCGAGACCCGTCTGTAACCAGCGTGGGACCGCCAAAATAAACGCGAATACACCTCTGCGTGTTGTGGAGCCAACCATACAGCTCTACATCTCCCGTTTGGACAAAAGTACGTCGGGAGAAGACGTCCTGCGTTTCGTGGAAGAACGAAGCCGATGCCGCATTGTGGATCCGATCTCTTTGAATTTGCAGCGTCTGGAGCCTAATAGATCAACGAACTTCAAATCCTACGTACTTCAGGTTCCTGCAAAATACAAAGAGACATTCCTTGCTCCAGATTTCTGGCCCTCAGTGTTTCACCGATACAGGGACGCGCCAAAGAAGAAAGTTCCCTCCCTAAGATTCGAAACCATCTAATATAGCACCTTCCGGAGTTCTGTTAAAAATATAAAATGTGAACCAACGCAATAAATTGCCACGAATTCTCTTAAATGCAATTTTATCCATAAGTAATTTATGATTGTTATTCATAATTTAAATAATATTATAAATATTCATAAATTAAATTTGAATAATTCAAGCAAACTTTAGCAAACTTTATATTTTGACAGGCGCACGATAGGTTTAAATTTGTCCCCCGTTCAATGGATATCGGGGATTTTCAACGCTATCACCATGCCCATTTTAAGCCAAACCAAGCTACAAACATCTAGACCGGGTGATATCGACCATTTAATTGAGATGATTAATAAATACAAGGTAATATATTTTACAATAAGGTTACAATACTTTTATTATAAAAGTGAAGTGACAAATGAACATACAGTCCACTTACGAAACAGAAGGCTACAGATACGTTGTCATGAAATTTTTTATTCATTAATTTCTCGATAAAGGCTTAAAAATGTCTGTCCTCCATCAAAAGAACCATTTAATAAAAAAAATGAAATAATCATAAACTTGGAGAAATAGCTGTACACAGACATATAATAGAGTAGCAGACCAAACATTAATCCGTAGTCATATCTATAGAGATGGGCATGATTCCTTATCCTTTTTTTGCTAAGCGACACGTCGTAAGCAATGTAGATTACTTATCAATAAAGTCTTAACGAATAGAACAACCCATCTATTATCGTGGTTATTGTAAAAGGCGACTAAAGGAGTATTTTAACAGGACGATGGGCAGCAGTCAACTCTCCTCCTTTAGACATTTTTTTTCTACACTTCTTATACCCAGAGAATATCGATTTTTGTGGATTTTCAGTAAGTATATTGGTTGTTTCAATATCGTTAAATAATACCAGCAACCGGCCCTAGTTCGGCCCTGTAATGAAAACACTACCTGTGTGTGCATAATGGCTACGCAATTTTTAGCGAATATTTGGTCTGCTATTCTGTTATATGTCTGTGTAATAGTAAAGTCTGTGTAGTAGAGCCGTGGTATCTCAGATGGTTAGTGCTCGCTGTAAATTTGACACTACGCGAGCAAACCGTAATTTTGAGTGCTGATTTACCACGTGCTCGGCGGTGAAGGAAAACATCGTGAGGAAACCTGAATGTCTGAGAAATAAGAAAAAAATGTTTCAAAGACATGTACAGTTCGCCAACACGCATTAGGGCAGCGCGGCGGGCACTTCCTTGCCCTAAAACCCTCTCAGAAATGAGGTTAGGCCTGTGTACAGCAGTGGGATGTATATAGGCTATAACTTTAACTTTTAATAGTATAAACGGTGACCGTCGAAAAAGGTTGGTCATCCGGAATAAGTAGAAAATAATACTTTTTTGTTTGCTGGGTATTAGCTAAATAATAAACCAGTAGCGGTCTGGTGGTTTGTAACTGGTCCAAATTTTTTTTTATTAATTCTCCTATTATCTTTTTTTGATATATAAAACGAAAGTGTAGTTTATTTTTTAAATTTGAAATTTGAAGAGGCAAAAATTAAAATTCGAGTCTGGTTCTTTTTTTTATAAGATAAGGGTGACAAACGAGCACAGTCCACCTGATGGTAAGTGGTTGCTGCGACCCATAGACATCTACATCAAACAAAATGCAGTTGCTCTGTCACCCGTGAGGACTAAGATGTAATGCCTCATTTCCAGTAAAAAGGGTCTCCGGTTCTCTACAATCATCATTGACGAAACACAGCAGCGTTAAGCTACTATTTTACGCTGGTATTCTGTGAGAGCGTGGTCCCTCCCCGGTCGAGCCGACCCATTCGTGCTACAACTATACTACTAATATAGCTGCAGTATGGCTCTACCACATTGAAAGCATTTTAAAGAGGAATAAAAATCAAAAAATATTAACGTTTCATTTGTTATCATATCTTAAATAAAAATGTATCGTTAGAATAAATATGTTAAGGGTGGCCTGGTAAACAGTTGTGTCAAGAATAAGGGTGCCAGACTCGAATTTTCATTTTTTTATTGGCCAAACACTATCAAATAAAAAAGAAATTAAAGTTAATTTTAATTTCATTTCTCAAAAAAAGCAAATTCATTAAAAAAATTAGACAAGTTATAAGCCATCAGACCACTAGTTAATTGTTTAACTAATACAAAGTAAATAAAAAGCTATACTTTTCTACTTTTTCGGGATGACTAAACTTTTGCGACGGTCACCGCTTGAACTATAAAAGTACAGAAAGTGGCACAATTGTCAAGTTTTAAAAATTATATTTAAGCGGTCCATTTGTATAAACAATCTAATAATGTAAGCAGGTTGGCTGTGGGATCAGAACATAAAATTCAACTGTATAGCTCAAGTATCTGGATTAACTATCTATTAATCTCAGCAACAAAATTAATTTTAGCAACCCAGTTTGTGTACGTCAGAGGCCTCGTTAGTCTTGTAGGCAAAAAGTTTCGAATCTTCTGAACTTATGCGAATCCCGTTAACACCAGAGTGCACATGGAAAAGGTATAAAAGGCGGTAGATAGGAAACCCGAAAATGGGCTTTGCAGTTCCCTTGTTGGATAATCATTAACGAATCTCATAAGTATTAAGCGGCAGTGTCAAAGTGGCGCGAACTCTTTTATTAATCAATTTTTTAGTTTTAATCTTATTTCTGACAGAACTAAGACAAAGCGGTCAACATCATAATTAAAATAAATATCAACCAAAATATATTACAGCCTAGTCATAATGTAAATCTTTTTTTTCATCAGCCACACTCGATGTTGATGAGTCCGGCTCTGATGTTGGTACTGTTAAGGCGCTGGGACGAAGTGGACCTCAGCTGCCTTAAGGACATTCTCGTAACTGGGTCGAAGACAAACGTGGATGCGATAAATAAACTACGGGTATGCATTTATTTTTAAATACTTTAATATATCAGTTCAGAGTGCCCCCGTTTGTTTGCATTTAAAATTTTTAATCCTAATATATTAGGTTTGAAAACCGTTATAATATGCGACCCCACTCACCATAAACACTTTTCGCACAATTATTTATTGCGATATTTCTATAAATTGGTTTCATTATCATAATTATAACTTGCTCTATTTTATTGTGCATATCTTTACTGTCCGTAAAATGTAAGTCATATTTTATTGAAATGGCTCATAGAGTTTAAGCCAAACACTTGGAGGACTTAGAATTTTAGACCCAATATAGACCCAGTAGCTAATAACTAAAGCACATATAGGTACACTAAGAGGTACGTGCGTGGTTCAAGTTGTCGTATATAATGGTAGTACCATTCACAGTTGTTTATACACTTTATGTACTTTACATCAATACCAACTTACGCAATTAAACCTCATTCACTGGAAAATAGAACGATTGAATTTCATCAATTCATAAATTCTTTGCGCGGAACTCTAATTCTTTTTCTAAAAGAAGTAGACTAAGTCACTCCGTATGATATTTGCTGTCTGCCAGATCGGAGATTAGCCGAAACACCAGACAGAGAGTCTATCTATCTAGACAGACATAAAAAATTGTTTTTTTTATAAGTACCGTTTAAACTTTCATACGACTTTAGTAAAAATTTATTTTGCGTGTCTTATGTGCAAGGTATGTTCTACAAGCGCCTAAAAATCAAGATTCCAACGTTTTGTCGCATGAAATCGTATCTAATATGTAATCACATTGAATGATATAAAAATCACATTGTCATAAAAATAAATGATTGTTGAACTTTTAATTAAGTTAATTTTTTTAAAAATAGATTAATAGCTATTTTTAAATAAAAAAGGGGTTTTAGTGACTAATGGTGTAGATTTATGTAGACCGCATGGAAGGGTAAACACGATAACTTTTGAAAATATCAATTGTTTAACTTAATCTATTTTGAATCTCTTCATCTATCATGTGGGAAGCCATGGAATGTAAATGGCAGTTTAATTTTTTTTGTTTAGTTATAATTTTTTTTTCGGCTAAGAAATGCCGAAATTTTTGGTGTTTTGGGCAGCCTAATAATACTAAATACACTTTGTCTCACTAGCACTCCGGCCTCGGTCGCCGTCGTGAGTGGACATTTGCGTACAGTAGCGGTAATAGGCAGCAAAAATATCGATCGTTGTAGGAATAGAAAATATTTCAAAAACCAAATTCATACTTGACCTAGGTTATTATTTTTGTAATCACAGATTTTTATTACAATATTTTGTTTCGCTAAAAGTATATTGTCGGAAAGATAAAGACCTCATTTTGTTATTTATGATGAAACTTACCTCCGGACTTGATAGAGTGACCTGAAAGTGTACTTCGGTGAATGCTACTGAAACTCTTCGAAGAGTAGAACTAGGTGTGCAGAGGTAGGCCTCGTTTTGTTAGTTATGATAAAACCTTACCTTCGGACTTGATAGAGTGACTTGAAGGTGTACTTCGGTGACTGCTACTGGAACTCTTTGACGAAGTATATAATAATAATAATACGGATAGAACTACAATTTTCAATTTTTTTTTAATTTTTTCACGATCCTATGAGCAATATGAGTTGTGCACTTTTGGATTTCCCAAGCTTTTTTTAAAATTAAAATTTGACATAAAATTATCCGAAAATTGGAAGTATAGTAATGAATATAAGGTTTTTAGTAAAAACCTGTGTGTAATTAAACTACTTTAAATATTTACGTACTTAATCATCTTTATACGTAATTTTTTCATGCGCTTAAGGCATGCACTATTGGATTTCCAATAGTTTGTTTTTGACATTACAAAGAGAAAATTCATTTTTTTTATTTGTATATATATGTATACTATGTTTGTATATTTTAAATATATGTACAATTTATATAAGCAAGATTTTTCGCACCAGCCAACAATCTATATCACCCAGGGTTGACTGGCAGAGAATGCTAGGGTGAGTGGGGGGAAGATCGAACGGTTTTTTGATGAGATGAGCAGTGTTGTATTTGACGTCTTGTAAAACAGTACATATTAACTTGAGCTAAAATTATATCTATAGTGAATAAAGTACAAAGAACATATTTTTATGTCATATCGATAAATCCCTGTTATATTTATTCGAAAGCAAAAAAAAATTAATTACAATGTTTTTATCGAAAGAAAAAAACAGGGGGAAAGATGAAAGGGTGGTGGGAAAAGATCGAAGTAGTTTCTAAAATCGTTCAAATTAATGTCAGACGATATTGACTGTCAGTAGGCAACAAATTTAATTGACCTGACACTTCAGAACTGTCTATAATATCAAAATACCTTCAAATAACACAGATAACACGACTTATTTGTTTTTTATATTTCAATTTTGACCCGCCGGGGAAAGATTGAACTAGAGGTTCTCAAACTTTTCACTTTACTTGGATAAGATACAGAAAATGAAAGATATCAATCATATAAATTTTTTTATTTTTAATGCCAAGATAATTTTAAACACAATTACGTACACCTTTTGCCATTTTCGTCAACAAAATATGTAGCACAAAACGTAAAAAATTAAATATTTCAAAATTAAACAGCTAACCAATTAATAAGATCCTAGAAAAATGCCACAACTAAAAACATAGAAAAACTTCAAAAAAAATTATATCTAAACAATAATAAAAAAAATTGGTAGTAGATCCACGTCTACAGTTCACTGTAACACATAAATGAGCAGGGTCGACCGGTGCGATACTATCCTCTCACAGAAAATCAGCGTGAAGTGGTTAGCTTCTTAGTGGCTGCCATGTTTCGTCTGGTGAGTGAGAGTTCCGGAAGCCCGTTCCTTTTCCCCTTTTCTTAAGACCACATGAATGTTGACGTTTGCTAGATAAACCGATGTGACGTTGCATTGTTCTAGGAGCTGTGATGTTGCATTTACTAACGAGTGTCTGGTGGTCTTTCCCCTTTCTTTAAGTTCCTACTCCCATTCCTACGAATCCTGTTCCTATACCTTATGAGAAGGCAACGCACAAGTAACACTCCTGTTGTTTCTTGTGTCTATGGGCAGCGGTGAAATCACTTAGCCATCAGGTGACCCACTTGCTCTTTTTGCCTCTCTTATAATATACAAAAATTAAAATTAATACGTTTAGATACTATTAGCTGAAATTGTGCCGCTGACAATTTATGTAATGGCTGTAACAAAACAAAACATTTTTTCAGGTACAGTTTGAGAACATGAGACCATTTGTATGACTTTTGAAAACGGGGCAAGATGGAAACTTTTATATGTTTATCTTACCCCGTCAAATTTTGGCGGGTAAAGACGGAATGTTACAATAAATCCTAAAATCCAAAAAGTAGCGATATTTAGACATAGCAACATAACTACCAATTAAAAATAATAAGTATGTATACAAATAAAAAACTCGTACCGACCTCGTAAATCAAGTTACACGACACGGGGTAAGATTAAAACACCCGACTTGCTCGCGTAAAATTCACAGCGTAGATATTCCCTTACACAACCGATCCCTCAAAACGACAAGTGCTGACTTAGGAGTGGTACGTAACAAAATGGCGGTCTTATGAATGTTGCCTGCATTGGATAAATTACACAAAATCTGTCTTCACAGATGCCTTTTTGTCTTACCCCGTTTTTCATCTTCCCCCCACTCCCCCTCATGGCATATGTACCCTTTACTTTATGGTATTATATTTAAGCTTTTTGAATAAATACAAATTAAAAAATTGTGTGAAACGATAAACAGGCTCGTCTTCCAAAAAACACCGTTATTATGGAAGCATACGGTATGACGGAGACTTTGGGACCAATGTTAACGCCAAACGTGAATGGCCCCAGTGGCAGTTGCGGCAAGCCTACATATGGCTATGACCTTAAGGTAACTATATATTATTATAAAAAATGCCATGTATAGGCGGCGTAAGAAAATCTACTAGCCTATGTCGCCTCGTGTGTGCCGTACAAGGCAAAAGAGATTTGAAACAGGGGATGGGCAGCAGCATTTTCCTATGACTATGACAACTCGAAATAATATAAAAACTACTTTTAACACGCCTATCAAGCGAGGTAACTATGATAAATATGAGGCTGTCTATATAGGAGGCCTATGTTCAGCTGCAAAAATTTGATCGGAAGTAATTAATGAAATTTCACGTGGTAGAGCCACGCTGCAGTTACATGTTTGTATCACTAATAGATCGGCTTTACCGGGGCCTTTACCACGTTCTCACAAAATACTAGCGTAAAATAGCTGAAGCTCCTGTGTTTTGTCTAGTGAGCTTCGGTTCTATAAGAACTAAAGATCCTTTTCACTGAAAACGAGGCATTTCATCTTAATCCTCAAGGGTAACAACGCATCTGTATTTTGAATCTTAATCGAGGATAGATCTAGATGTCTATCATCCCTGCACTTGAAGGTACCCGGCCGCTCTACTCGATAATTTATATTTATCAACAGTAACTATTTGTAGAAGTCAACTCAAAAGATAACATCTCTATGTGTGCCATTGGCTTTAGAAATGATTGGTTTGTGTGGTCCGCGTGCATTGAAATTGCTGAAGGTGCAGATCCACGACCGACCACAGCCGCTAGTAATAAAACGGGTGGTTATTGGTTTCACCCAAGGTTAAGTAGATATTTTTTTTATAGGATAAGGGTGACAAACGAGCACACAGTCCACCTGATGGTAAGTGGTTGCTGTGGCCCAGACATCTATATTTATCCTCGATGAGAAATCAAAATGCAGATGCGTTGTCACCCGTGAGGACTAAGATGGAATGCCTCGTTTCCAGTAAAAAGGGTCTCCGCTTCTCTACACTCACCATACGAAACACAGCAGCATTAAGCTGCTATTTTACGCTGGTATTCTGTGAGAGCGTGGTCCTTCCCCGGTCGAGCCGACCCATTCGTGTTACAACTATACCAGAAATATAGCTGCAGCATGGCTCTAGCACGTATGTCTATATTAGTGGTAGGACTCCTTTTCTGCCGAGGAGTCCATCTTAGTCTGGGTCTATAACAATACTAGTCTTCAAGGAGCTCAGACTAACAGACTGTGCATAGATGGTTCACGTGTATTATAAACATCTAAGTAAGTAAAATCAAATTTAAAGACAATTGTTATTTTATTTTCAATTTGTTTCAGCTAGTAGATCCCGATACTGGATTGGAAATAAAGGAACCATACAAAAACGGTGAACTGTTAGCGAAGGGCATATGTTTTTCGGTATGTTTTTATTTTTTTTGTTCTTTCAGTGGTGGCTTAAGAGAATTTTGTGAATTCTCTTACTCCATATCGTCCTAAAACTCGACTATGGGATACACCAGAAATATTTCATAGCCCCCGATAGATAGCGGTATAACTGTTTAAATGCTAGTGCCTGATGTAATAATTTAAAATTTTGTACTACCGACTTCAATGTAAATTATTAAGAATAGCTCAAAAACTATTGGTCAGACCTTGATCAATTCATATGGGACCACAAGGGAAGTACCAGCTTTCAAATAAAAAAAAGAATCGTCGAAATCGGTTCACCCAGTAAGAAGTTATGAGGTAACACACATAAAAAAACATATAGTCGAATTGAGTACCGGCTCCTTTTTGAAGTCGGTAGAATAACATACTGAGAACATCTACGACAAGCTGCATTAAAAGTGTTAATCCTACAACGGGAAATGTCAAAGTTCATTAGTGGACTAATAATAGTAATATATATGTATAATGGGCTAGCGACAATGTTTTTTGTGTTTCAACTGTTTATTAGCAGGTTTGTAACTTAACTGCTGCAAACATCACTTATCATAGCAGTTATAACTATCTATAGCTGTTGCGTTGTTTAAGTAATAATAACATTACAATTACTCATACCTAATATAAACTTGCAATAGTAGCCACTTGGTAAAATTTCATCTTCATTTGGTGATTTGGATTGACAAAAACAAACAAGAAAGTTACAGTTGTGGTGCTCGTTGAATTTCCGAACGCTTTTAACACAGTTTACGATGATATACTTCTTGCTATTATTTTCCATCTGAAACTTGAACCGCCTGTCCTAGAGTGGTTCTCATCTTATCTTCGCGTACGTCAGCAGTCCGTCCATGTGAAGCAAAAACCTTCACGGTGGGTTGACGTTGTTTGTAGCGTACCGCAACGTGGTATATTTTTCCGGTTAATCACCTTTGTTTTTATTAATTCTATCACATCCAATTTTGATTCTTCATACCGTCTGTATGACTAACCTTCAACTTTATGTACTGTCTGATATTGGTCACATACATAATGCAATATACAAATCATATATCAATCTCAAGTCCATCCACGATTGGTCTATGCGCTTCGGAGTTTCTGTCAATCCTATGAAATGTCAGGCGATGGTTATAGGTAGCTCAAGAATACTGCATATATTATAATAATTATTGCTTGATACAGTTTTCTTGCTCAGTTAACTCAGTTGTCTCCGAAACATGTCATAAAGTCTCTAGAGCTTTACGTTTTCTCTATCGCTTAACACTTTGACAGCTGACCGTTTTTTGGCGCGCATTGTTTAAATTTCTTCCTTTTAAGACTAAACTTATGCTAGTACCTACAGCTACTTAAACTACTGATTATTGATTATGCAGACGAGTGCTACCCGGATTTAAACCAAAATCTTCTTAACAAACTAAAGCGCCTTCTCAATAACTGCATCAGATGTATTTTGAGTCTTCATAAGTATGAACATATTTGTCTCTATCGCTCTCGCCTTAAATGGCTTACTATAAAACAAAGGCGTGACTCTAAAATTTTGCTTGTTGTCTTCTTTATCTTAAATGATCCATCAACTCCTTATTATTTCAAGGACAAAATTCAGTGCCTCTCCTCGACGCATGATAGAACTCTGCGTTTATGTAATGTAGTGGGAAACTATTAGTTTCCCACTACATTTCACAAATATCGTTGGAAAATCTTTCATCATTCAGGCTGAACTTCTCTGGAACACCTTGAAAAATTTAGAAAAGCAATGAAGATATTAGAAAAGCAACTAATAAGACTGCTTTTAAAAGTAAAGTACGTCTTCTGGTCAATATTATCATTTGGTTACCTTTGTTGCAAGTTTATAAGTATAATTATGTTATATAATAAGAATAATGGAACTACTTCTTGTTTTACATATATATGTATATACCTATATATGTCAAATATATATAGTATGTACTAGTGGGTGGAACAAATTACAATATAAATCTTTTTAGGAATATTTGCTGAATCCAGAAGAGACGAAAAAGTTATTCACAGAAGATGGCTATATCAAGACTGGCGATCTTTTTTACAGAGACGAGAACGACAATTACTTTTTTGTTGACCGAATAAAGATGCTAATCAAGTATCGCGAAGCTCAGGTATGTATTATTTTGAAAAAAGTTATAATGGTGGCTTCCCACGGCCTGGAATATTACAGTACGCTCCGCGGCAAATTGTAGTGCGACTGTGTAATGCTTGGTGTAAGGTCTGACGTTTGGTTTTGTCGTATTGTGTAAATGTGTTAGATTAATAACATATATTATAAGTATCGACAACAAGTTGATTGTTTTCAACAAGTGATTGTCAATTTACAAAGTGTTAAACATTAACGCAGACGCGGAGTGATTCACACCACCAACGAATCCCACCCGAGTTACATAATTGCACTGCTGGTTAGTAATATCGGGCGTCACGTTGTCCCCATTTTACTTTTAATTTCGTAATGCCGCATAACGAAAGCAGCGCCTTTGCTTCAGCTCTACTTGTCATATTTTTTGAATTTTATGTAATAAAAAAGTCACACAGAAGAAATGAAATAAGCGACGCGAAATCGACTTATTGTCCGCCCCATCTTGCACCGCCATGGTTTTCCACCGTTGCCATCTGTATATACTTGTGGGCGGTGGAAGGAAAAGGGGATATCTCCCGCCGGGCAAGGTGTTCTGCCCGGGGAGCGGCCAACGCTCCGAGTGGTAGTTCGGAGCTATTCTATATATACTGCTTTAACTTCGAAACTTTGATAGCGTGATTTAGGCTTCGATGTGTTTTCGTTTGTGGCGCGACGACAGCGCCGTCACATCACCCACCTGCTCAGACCGAAGGTCTATAGGTCAGTCCTATTGCCGGTGCGTCCTTAATGCCAGTGGGAAATGCATGCTGTGTGCGTAAGGGCAAGTGACGCCAATGCGAACGATATGCCGGTGTGTAATGCATGCCATACTACGCACTTGCAAGTGATGCCGGTGAGAACGATGAGCCGGAGCAAGTGCCAGGGATTGCCTTGTAGTCTGCGGTGAGTCAAGAAGAAGGCAAGTAATCTGTGAGAGTGCCGTGAAGCAGAGGCGAGCAGTAAGGTTCAGAGCCGTGCCGAACACTGTAGCGCAGAGAGTAGCTTGAAGGAACAGGAAGCATTATTATTCCAGTGCCGCGATGAACCTTTGTAAAGCTAGATGGCTTGCAGAATGTGAAGACTGCAGACAATATCTGCTCGGGAGGGAATGATTGGGGTACTTGAGGATGGTGAAGGTTTGAAGTTGTAGTCTCGTGGGTGTCGTAAGAGACGACAGAGGGAAACTGAAACAAGTCATGCACAGCAGTATCTTCCTGGTAAATACGCAAAATTATAAAAAAAAACTGTGGTTGCAAACTCGCCTGATAAGGGAGGTAACTGTGGCAAAATCTGTGGGAGAGACCTATGTTCAGCAGAGAACTTATTTAGACTGTAATGGATGACACTTAGTTGAAAACCGCTAATGGATCGATCCGTCATTACACAAGCACTATAGTCTGAGGCGCCTCGTAGTTCAAGCGCTTCTAACGACGGAGCGTGGGCATGATTTTTGATATCACAAATCACAAACCATCGAAAGTTTCCTTTGTTTACTACGTTTCCTACTACGTCTCGTTGTCACAAATGTATTTTAAGTTGAATACCAGATTCTAATGGTGACGCATTCGTAGATACATAGTGTGGTATCAAATTTTCAAAAAGTTCTATTCGCACCATTTTGCAACTACCGCCTAATTGTGAGATTCGTTAATTGTTATCCAATAAGAGTACTAGAATATCCATTGCTGGGTTTCCTATCCATATTAACTACCAATTTCAAATTATAAAAAATAAAATAGTTGCTGAAACTGTTTATAAGAAACCTTACTAAAAACTAAAGTCATTTTAATACTATAAAATAACAGTAAGTACTTATAGTTCTTTTCTATCTAGAACATTTTTAAATAACTTTGCAGGTAGTTCCGTCAGAGCTAGAGGAACTAATCCTTCAACATGATGGAGTATTGGATGTTTGTGTAACTAGCATACCGCATCCAGACGACGGCCAGCATCCAGTGGCGTGTGTTGTTCGAAAACCAGACTCCACCGTAACAGCACAGGAGATAAAAGAATTAGTTTGCAGTAAGTATTACGTCCTTGTAAGTAAATGGCTGCGTCTCCACGCAGTCATATACCCCATCACCCCATATCTCCCCGTAGATGTCGTAAGAGGCGACCATGGAAAATGTCAATGATCACATAGCATCCGGTAGAATCCGGTGCTACGATCGCCAATCCGTTTGCCAAGCATGGCAATTACGGCAACTCCTCTCTAAAATAGGAGAGACCCGTGTCAAGCAGGGATTTCTAACGGACTGTTGATGATGATGATAATAATGAAGTACATGGCAGAGCTGTGAGTGTCGTACACGGCGACAGAGAAAAATGAAACTAGAGATGGGCAGAAGTATTTTCCTGATGACAACTCAAACTAATAAAAAAAACTGCGATTACTCATCCGCCGGTTGAGCGAGGCAACTATAGCGTATATCCCGCTATTGAGACAATTTATGGAGGAGGCCATGTTCAGCTCTTCAGCAATGGCTTTTAATAGGCGGTAATGAATGAAGCTAATCTATGACGGATGAAAGAAATGAGCTTATCTATGACGATAAGTTACATCCTATACGTTCCATTGCTGGGCAATGTCCTCCCTTCTGAGAGGGTTTAAGGGCAAGGGGTTTTTTACCTGGTAGAGCCATGCTGCAGCTTTATTAGCAGTGTAGTTGTAGTAGGAATGGGTCGGCTCGACCGGGGAAGGACCACGCTCTCACATAATAACAGCGTAAAATAGCAGCTTAATGCTGCTGTGACTATCTTAGTCCTCACGGGTGACAACGCATCTGCATTTTGGTTCGTAATCGAGGATAGATGTTAGAAAGAAATTAAAACCTTAACTTACACGCGGGCTAAGTCGCGGGGAACAGCTAGTTGTCACTTAAAACGGCTACTAAAAATTTCATTGGTGCCGGCGGGGATTGAATCCGAGTTGCTCGCAATGAATTTTACAGCGAGTGCTTAGATACTGAGATACCACAGCTGAGTGTTGAAAAAGAAGACGAATAGGAAATTCAAAGAAAAGAAAATCTGTAAAGATGCTAATAATTTATTTTCAGACCACCTGTCAAAGTATAAGGAGTTACGTGGGGGTGTCGTGTTCTTCGATAAATTACCCATGACCTCGTCGGGTAAAATAGCGCAGGGAAAATTAAAAGAATTAGTGCTGAATGCTCATCGAGAATGAAACTAGCGAACATTTATAAGTGATATTAAATTGTGGTAATGGCATTGACTGACTACTTGTCACAATAATCGGCACGACATAGTAAAATGTTCCATTGTGTTCTTTAAAATATACAGTTTAATTATTGCTATAATTCAACAGCTCTGAGCTATTTAAGTTAATTTATTTTATGTAAATGGTTTTAATGATTGTTTTTTAATGAACTAAGTTTATAGTTATTTTTATTAATAAATGTATAAATTGTGAATATATTTATTTACTAATATCTGTGCCCGAGACTGCGTTCGTTGAACCGAATGAGGTAGTAATTTATATAATCAATTCGTTTGCCACCATACAGTGGCAGCGTAAAAGGATTCATTATCCCATTTTCTCGTCCTATAGTCGCGTGTGTGGCGATATGTTGGATTAACTATCTCTTTTTCGCCGGACGTAATATACCGAAACCAGCGACGGGTAGCCAGTACCAGAAAGCGGGAGATCTGGTACTGGATCTTTAATGCTGCAATCGGTAATCAAATAATAATATTTGGATTTCGATGAACAAGCATACAGCATAAACATAATTTCAAAGTTCAATGTTGGACAAATTTTTCGAAATTACGTTTACGTATTTCTAGAAAGAGTTGTCCACTTCAATCATACTGTGCTAATTATTACTTATGTACCTACTTGTAAAGCTGCTCTCTTTCATCAGTCAGCAATAGCAGGAATCAGCCACTGTTTAGTTTGTATGAGCCTTTATCATCACGGTTTGCGGAAATGCTACCATCTACGAATTGTGGTGGCATATTAAGGATCAAAATTGCATTCATATATTATTATCTAAGTTTCTTGTTAAGTTACGTGTACGACAGCAACCACTTACCATCAGGTGGACTGTGTGCTCATTTGTCACTCGATCCTATAAAAAAAATTTTAAACTACGAGATGGCAACAAGTTAGCGAACAAAATGGTACTTATATGTTAATTCAACTTCAAAATGGTGTCATAATGTCGTATGTGGATGACACAGCCCTGTTGTTCTCAGCTAAATCACGAGATGAGGTTTATAAATACGCTCAGCAAGGCTTTAACATAGTATCTAATTGGCTTCTTAATAATCTCCTACGTTTAAACGCAGATAAAACAATACATGTTATTTTTAATGAGAAACAATGACATACTTACTCATATATGTATAACAGCAGAAGTAGCTTCTCTATTTTTATTATCGTTTCATTTTCAAATGACACTTGAATTAAGTTCACAATGTTACAATATGTCGACTCTACGGCCTCTTCAAATTGTAGATTAAACGCTGCATTATAACATAAAAATAAATATGACCAAGGTGTAGGATTGCATGTGCATTCTAGAAGACCTTTATATTGTATAAAATAATAAATTTTAGACCAAGTACCAGGTATGCATGAAGACTATGCGACACTATATCTTGCAGTGACGCTTAAAAAAAATAATAATAATCATCAACCATCATACGCGGTAGAGCCATGCTGCAGCTATATTAATAGTATAGTTGTAGCACGAATGGGTCGGCTCGACCGGGGAAGGACCACGTTCTCACAGTATACCAGCTTAAAATAGCAGCTTCATGCGGCTGTGTTTTGTATGGTGAGTGTAGAGAACCAGAGACACTTTTTACGGGAAAAGAGGCATTCTATGACGTTACTCCTCACGGCTGACAACGCATCCGCATTTTGATTCACAAACGAAGATAGAGGTAGATGTCTATGGGCCACAGCGACCACTTCCCATCAGGTGGACCGTATGCTCGTTTGTCACAGTTATTCTATAAAAAAATCATCATTACAATCATTACAGCCCATCAAGTCTACTGCTGAACATATAGGTCTCTTCCAAGGAACGGCACAATGCGTGGTCTTGAGCCACTTCCATGCATCGACTTCCTATCTCTCTTACCAGGTCGTCACTCCGTCTCGTAGAGGGCCACCATACACTAAGTTTATTGTTGGGGCGGCTTTGGAGAGGGCTATGCTCGAGTTTTCCTGCGTGATAGACTTCGTAATGAAGATATCCACATTAGAACCAGAGTTACCAACATAGTTTTTGTACTATGTTGGTAACGCCGACCCTTTGTATTGGCAAAGGGACTAAAGTAACGTTACTGGCTTAATGTAACTTTCCCGTCTCGGCCCTTTCTGACCATGAAACGATAAACTCTTGTTTTCAAATCTTTATCATTTTTTATTCAACAACACAATGAGTGAGCTTTTGAATACATTTTATACACACTAAGCTATGGGGATGAAGCTGCTCGCGTCCGTAGGAATTACTTGAATCCTGATTCCCTACACGTATCCCTTGGGTAGTGCTAAACAAGCAGTATTCCTCTACTAGTGAGAGGTCTGGCCGAGGGTTAGTTACCAGCCACCTGGCAAAGACATACCGCCAAATGATGCAAATCGTGTTCCGGTATGATGTTAGGTGAAACCCATTTCTTAGGGAGAATGGGTCTGGACAGTTGCGTTGCGCATACGAACCAGTTGAAACGCGGCCGTTTCTTAGTGTCAGGTGCCTAGTTAAGGAGGTTAGCGGGATCCAAAGCACGGTTGCACCGCTGGCCGACCGTAGATAGTTGGGGGCCCAATTAATGAGCCAGCCACTCATGAAAGGCTGCCCCGCCATTTTACGAAAAATCCTAAGATGGCTCCACCATGCCGGTTGGTGACTGGAGGAGGGGGCCTGGTGGCGAATTCCAGGGGGGGTTCGGGCGTCCCCGCGATCTCCATGCTAGGTACCATCGTTGTTGTGATTTTGTTTGCGTCCCTAGGTTATATGTGTGACCTCCCGTCCAACTGCCATTCTCTCAACCTATTCACTTCCACCATTAATGAAAAAAATGAAAAAGAAGAGTAAGTCTGTATAGCGGTTGCACACACACACACATGGTAATACCATCATCCATCGTAGGCCACACGTAATTCTCTAAGCCATTTCTCACACCTACGTGATGAGAGTGGTGTTCATCATCATCATTAGAGCCCTTCACAAGTCCACTGCTGAACATAGGCCTCCCTCAAGGAATACCCCAAAGTACGATCCTGAGCCACCTGCATCCATCGACTTCCTGCATGTCTTACCAGGTTGTCACTCCATCTAGTGGGGGGACGCTCTACACTTCGCCGGTACGAGGCTACCACTCGAGAACCTTTCTTCCCCATCGGTTATCGGTTCTTTGAGCTATATGGTCGGCCCATTGCCACTTCAGCTTACTAATCCGTTGCGCTATGTCGGTCACTCTGGTTCTACTGCGGATATCCTCCATTCTAAGTTTATCACGCAGAGAAACTCCGAACATAGCCCTGCGTTATATGACAACTATAGAACTTCCCGACCTATAAAGTGCGTGTTCAATGTTCATTGTAAATGCCTTGACAGTTGATTTAGAAATCAATAATAAAATCATTAAACGCCTAACTAACTTAGTTTAAAGAATTTATATTTTAAGAACAGAAGGATATGCGTGATATATAACTTGGTTAAGTCTAAATAATACTTTTGTTTTAGGTCAATCTCATAATGATCTACAATTATACGGATGTTGATAAGTTTTTATCAAAGATGGACTTCATCGAAATGATACGTGCACATTTGAAATGGCCGTGGTCATCTACTCATTTTATTTTGTTCTCATTGTTATGGATGTGGTTCCCAGATAGTCCGTCGAAATAGACCGTTACATTTTGTTTTAACAGACAACAATGTAAAAAAATTATTACGCTACGGTTTATTTTGGTGCCCCCATTGCAAATATTTTGCCATCTATAATCATTTTCCAGAAGACGAATGCGAATATTGTAATTAGTCAGTTAATCATATCTACTTACCTATTTAAATTTGAATCATTAAATATATTGTAAGAATTTTGGAAACACGCTTCAACTTAATGGGTTATCAATCTATACATATAATAAATCTGTAGTAAAGTCGTATGTGCAATCCTAATATTTTCTGGAAAAACAATTCCAGGGGACTAACTAAAGGCCACTGAATCCAAATTAGTGGTTTTTACAATTTTGTCTGTCTGTCTGTCTGTGTGTTATCGATTCACGCAAAAACTACTAGACAGATTTCCATGAAATTTTGTGTATAATTAGTTAGGAAATAGGGGCAACTTATAGGCTACTCTTTATCCGATTGCGGAACTTAAAAAAAGAGGGTTAAGTATTTTCCTTCCTGAAGATGTTAATTTCTATTTTATATTATTGATTATTGATGTGCTTTTTTTAAATAACACATTTAATTTAAATTATATCTATATATACTATATAGAATCTCATATAATTTATTATTATAGCAATTTAAATCCTAAAATTAGTTTTAATCCTTGCCTAATAATTTGAGCTACGCCGAAAATAGTTTCACTTTATCAAAAGTATTAATGATATTTCTAAATTGAAGCCAACGCTAGCGAAGCCGCGGATAAAAAGCTAGTACTTATTATATTTTACTACTATTGTTACAAGAGTTAAAAAAATCTCTACAGTTGCAATTATTTTTTCGCCTCTCACACAATTAGCTATAAAAACAAAGTTTAGCATTTTTCATTACTTTTATTTATTCTGTTAGAAAATGTACAATTATAATTTGATAAAAATTAGTAGCGTAATTCATCTATTGAATCCGAATAGTTTAACTGTCGTACCGAGTCACCAGATGGCGCACTGTACTAACACGGAGCCAATATGCCGCGCTCGCTCGCTCTTTAGTCCGGCCGATGCTGCGATGTTTCGATTGCAGGAATATCTCCTCTAATAAGTTTGCTTCTCGCTCACGCATTTTCGCTTAGTCAGTGAGTTGTAGGTAATAGTACGTTGTCGGTAATAGCGAGTGGGCGCTTGGCTATTAGATATTAAGATACCCTAATTATCAAGTAGCAACAAAATATAATAGGTAGAATTATTATAAAGTCCTAATGTTTAATTTTTAATAAGATAATTTAAGAGCATATTGTTACTTGGGAAGTTTTTGTTGT